CTGGGTGAAGAGAGAGTTGGAGTTTGTTGGTTGTGTTGTGAGGAGGAAGGAGTCGGTGCTGTGAGGAGTTGGCTGTGAGAAATCATTGAGAAGGTATGGGAGCTTTGCAATATGATGACCACAGATGACCTGTGTACAGACAGTCTAAATTTCTTTGCTTCCTTTCTGTGAACCCAGTGGACAAGTCTAACTATCCACAGCTGGTGAGTCTGACTAAAACACTTATTTTGTTGACTCTTTTGTGTGTTTTTCTTTCTTCACTTGTGTGAATGAGGCTACTCCTAGGTAGTCCCACTCTTCGTAGAGATTTCAAAAATTTCCACAGGGATTCAAAAATACACCATGGATGTTTTCCAAAGAAACTCTTCATTTGCAAAGATGAGAATGTAATTGAAATGAATACATTGGGTTTTTTTATGGCTTTTTGATAGCTTTTAATGCTTATACTAAAATCAAAAACCTTGAAATTTTGCGGAAGACTGATTATGGAGTAACCCTTTGTTTGACTCAGCGAAGTAGCATTATCTTTGTCCCATTTGATGGTGCTTATTTCTGTTTATGGTTCCACAATACTGGTAGTATTCTTTTAATGTGATTATAGGAAAGTTTGGAAAAGCCTACAGGATGAGTTCCATTTAAATGGCTTGCATCAGCCTTTTGGATCTTCTTGACAGTACAGTCAAGTGTCATGCAAAAAAATGATAAACAATTTGAAGGGGTGGGTTAGAGATTTTTAGAACAAATAGTTTTGTAAGATTTTGCAAATGTCTTGAAGAATCTCACCTTTTGGCAGTAGTATAAATGAATTATACAATTTAATAACAGAATGCAGGTCAGAATTTTGAGGCTAGTAAGGAATACTGAACAGTTAAAGAAAACTATGAATAAAAAAGATTAAATAAAATAAATTCCCAAGAGCTGAATAGAAGTCTCATTCATGATGATGTAAACCAACTCAGTTAAATATTCTTTAAAATATTGTTTGTAGGAATTCTGCCTCTTGATTTTCCTAAGAGATGTTTTTTAATAAGGATTTCAATGGGAATTATGATCAAGCATGGAGAAGCATGTAATGAATGAGCTAGATGGGGCTATTTGTGACAGTCTCTAGAGACAGGAGAAGTGATGTATAGCAGATAAGCATGGGATTAAAGTTGAGCAGAGGGGAGGGACAAACATCCTGAATTGTTACTAATAAGCACTAATGAAAGAACATCAGGCATCCTTTGTGTTGAAAAATGCAGGCAATTTACTAATTAGAAATAATTCATAAAGTGGCTTCTCTTTTTGTGTTCTGCATGTAATATATGTGTACAAGTGAAGCTGGAGGCAAAGTAGTGAAATGATCATATATAAGGAAGATTTTAAGAGTTTATTGCCTTAATACTTACCTTAACTTTTAAAGTCTTGTTTTGATCACTTCCATCTTTGTGTGTACTCATGAAAGAGTATAAAAAAACTCCAACTTTTTGGCAAGACTCATAATTAAGGGAAATAAAAGATATTGCCATTTCTCTCATTACCATAACTTCTGTTAACAAATACAGCATGCAATGTACAGTGCCTTAAAGCCCGAATGAATACCATGTTCAGCTGAAACTATGAAAATGAGATGAACATAGGTACAATGTACTATTATTACTTATTTTGTCCATGAAGGACTTCCTGTTCCCATAGTGCTTTTTGTACACTAAAGTCACAAGATATTAGTAAGGCACAACTTCTTTTCGCTAATTATGCAGTATAAATGGAAATTGTGGGCAAATCTCCTAATCTCCATAGAGACAGCACAACATTTATCTAATTAGAAGTTTGCCTTTTGGCATTACTTTGAATAAATTAGCATTTCATTACATACCCTGAACTACTTTGAAAAAGTTTCCCAGAGTAGTATTTAGTCTTTCTTTTCTGAAGAGTGTATTTTGAATTAGTGTAGGTTAATAATCTCCTTTGTAACTGGAAAGAGGCAGAGTAGTACTGCTATTGTGTTTTTAATATCAGAGGGTTGCACTTGCAGGTTCTTTGTTTTCTTTAATCCCTGGGAATCAGAGTAAAATCTTATGTCACCTTATTTAATGGCTTACTCCTTTACCAGGGAAAAATCCAAGAAAGAAAGCAAAAAAAAAAAAAAATGGAACCAGTTTGAAATACAAATACCTCCTCTTGCTACCCTTTGTCCAGTGGTCGAACTTTTCTTTCAAATTGCAAAAGTCATACTCTATCACTAATTGTAAATGAGCTTTTCTGCAGTATTTCCAATGTAGCCAATCCAGAATACACTATTTGTCTTCCTTTCTTGTATATAAATCAGTGGCAGGAAACAGAGTGACTAAGTTTAGGTATTGACTGCCAGATAAGACAAGTGGCTGCTTATTAGGCTTTTCCTGAAAAGGTACTGAGAATCAAAGCTTGGATGGGAAATTAAAAGAGATAATTCATCAAGGATAGACTTTAATTTATTTTCTTTCTAAGTATTAAAAAGAGTAGAAAGAAGATTCCACAGAAGTGCTAAAGGGTGGTAATTTCCTTGCCTTGAGTCACTGGCTGTTTTAGACCCCTGCTCGTTCCTTCAGAGAGTCATTGGCTGACACCTGTGGCAGAAGATGCCCATGAAGTGTGCTGTTAAATATTTGCCCATTCTCAAAGTGGCCTTTGCAGCAGGGATGTGTGGTTACACCACCATTGCCATGGTTGCCTTTTGGTAGACGGAGGCATACAAAGAATGTCAGGTTGTTTTTGCAAAATCCAGAGGAATGAAACCATCTTCATTTTGGGTTCTTTGATTGTCTTGGCTTGAAAGACGTGTCTGCTCGGGAAGGCAGGAGTGTCCCTTGGAATGGAGCATATGAACCCCCTCCCTCTGAATTATTATCATTTTGGAAATTAAGGGGCTTTTGGGCAAAAAGGTATGGGGATAGGAGTAACAGTTCTTTACTAGTGTGTATAAAAAACAAGCAACATCAACAACAATTACAGCATTAACAACAAACAGAACCAGAAAACCCAGTCCCAGCCTTGTGGCTGTGGCAGTTTCCCCTTTGGTGCAGTTACAGCTTTAAACAAGATTTGGATGGGTGAGGGGATAAAATCATGATCACCAGAGAGAGACCTGGAGGCAGCATGCCACTGTTTGACAGTGTGCTAATGAGGTCCTTTGGTCTGCTGTCTTGTTAGTGGTAGGGGATGGAGATCCATGCAGCAGCAAGGGTTACTCATGTGCTAGAAACTGCAGAAGCACTTGGGAATGCTCATGCAGGAATTGGAGCTTCTTCCCATGAATAGGCAGTGAGCTTGATCACCCAAATGAAGTGCATCTACACATACACATGCAGCATGGGCAGCCAACGGGAGGAAGTGGAACCCATTGTGCAGCAGTAAAACTATGACATAGGGGGTTGGAAGTAGGTGATCAAGGTTCCTTCCAACCCAAACCATTCTGATTCTGTTACAAGAGGAAATAGCCTCAAGTTCCATCTGCAGAGGTTTAGATTGGATATTAGAAATAATTTCCTCACTGAAAGAGTGGCTAGGTGTTGGAACAGGTTCTCCAGTGAAGTAGTGGAATTGCCATCCTGCAGTGTTTGAGAGTCAAGTGGATGTGGCATGGAGGAACATGCTTTAGTGGTTAACATGTGCTGGGTTAACACTGAGACTTGATGATCGCAGAGGTCTTCTCTGGCCTTAATGATTCTCTGTTCCTTTTGGCTGTCAGACAGGATTTTGTTTCTAGTAGCACAGCATGTCTGTAGTTTACAATATTTGTGAGCTTGGAAGCAGTTACAAAAGGACCCCCAGTGCAGTGCTGCACATGATGGTCCCAGCAGTGTGTCCAACTGGACTCATTGATGTCCATTTCTCTGCTTCTGGACTGGATTCTATGAGCAGATGGTCACTTACCTCCCTAGTGGTGAGGTAGGACAACACTGTACATTCACTTGCCCCTTGGTAAATGTTGTCTTGTTCTCTGGGAAGGCTTTTTTCCTCATTATTTGTTATTTGACACTGAGTTATGTCATGGTGAGAGAGGAGCTCATGTTCCTTTCTAGTTCTTCTCTCAGCTTCTTTACTTTTCTCTCTCGATCAGTAACTATTTTGTTTTCCTGGTCAATGAGTTGGCCAGAGTTCTGGGATGATTCATCCTTGGTCTTCTATTGTTATGAGCACCCTGCAAATAAAACCCCAGAAAATTTCTTTTCTAAATTTGGTCAAATTTGCCTCTTTTTAACAGCTGGAACAATTAATGGAAAACTTTAAGATGAGGGAATACAAAAAAGAAATAAAGATAGTTTATTAATCCCTCCCTCCCAGCATCATTGTGGGTAGATTTCTGCTTTCAGGTCTAGTCCTTGATTACCTCAGTACCTTTGTAGGAAGCTGGCACAGGTTTCCAGTCCCCCCCTACCCAGGGCCTAGGAATGTTGTTCCTGCACCTTCTGAGGCTGGTTAGTGCCTGGCTGTAAAAGCAGAATTCCAGAAAAATCTGTGATTTGCTTGACTGTCCTCACCCTTTCTGTAGGACCCCAACTCTTGGCTGCCACATTTTGCACTGTCTTTTGGCTATAGCTGTCCTCACAGAGGCCATTCAGTGTCTCAAAAAACAGCTCTTTCTTCCCTCTGTCTTCATCCAGGGGCTCAGAACCTTAAACTTAAAACTCTACTGTAAGAATAGAGAACAGTAATTTATATCCTAAATACACATTGAAATTAGCCTCTCTTTCTATATTACATTTTAAAGGCTCTGTGCTAAAGCCTTCTAATCTTCTCTGTATATTCTAATAAATTTCACTTTGTTGGTTGTGTTGATATTGTAACCAAGCATGATCTAGGGAACGTGGGTTTGGAATTGAGTAAATTGCCAAAAAATTTTTCTTACCTGCTCCCAACATATTGTTTGTTTTAGGGAGATCTTGTCTGGGGATGTGGAAAATGAGAAGGCAATGTTAGAGGTATGTGTGAGAAAAAGACTGCTCTAATGTGATGGTCTGGTTTTTGTTCTACAGCTTGATGACTGCACCCTGCAATTGTCTCACAATGGTACCTATCTGGATCTAGAATCCACCCTAGCAGAGCAAAGAGATGAACTAGAAGGTTTTCAGGAGGATGCTGGGTAAGTAAATGTTTACTAATTTTTTATAAATAAGCATGTAGTTTACTTCATGTGTTCAGGTCTGCATGGAAGCGAAAAGATAAAAATCTTTCCCTTGTATGCCTGTCTGTCTGTCCCTTTGTATGATTAAGAATTTTATGACTTCTCTCTCTACTTTCACTCTTACAGTTTCTCTAAAATATGACATAGTGTAAAGAAATCTATGAATATGAATATCTTGATTAGTCTAGTAAGATTTTATAGTTCTTTGAAAGTTGATAAATGAGGATGGTTTGTTTGGAGAACTCTGAGATCTTTCTTATGATATTAGTCATGTAGAGGATTATATTGGGGTGATGTTCCTGAAGTTATAAATTCAATTTACTTTGCCTTGGTAAGTTAAGTCCTCCATTTATATTTTTGAAGACAAGACCTGTATTGGTTTCTTCTTTTACTCCTGGAATTGATGGAATCAGTCCAAGGGATGGGTGTGCATGGTTACTTTTTAATATTCTTCTCTCTTGCTTTTTTCATATTTAGTTATTGCTGGCACACATGGATTGCTATGACACAGTTTCCCTAATCATCTCTTTGAGAACTGAAAGTGAAAGCAGAAGTTAGCATCAGTGTGTGTTTGTGTAAATGCACATAGGTGATTTGCTTTTTTAAAGAATTTTCCTATTATGGATCTTTCAGATTATTATCTTACTTAAGATGTACAATGAATAGAAAGTCTAGATCTGTTTTTGCATTTCTGGTTACTATTGGACTGGATAGTTGTGGTTATTTTATGGGTGTATTTAACTGAATTTTGAATTGGTCAGAGTTTGTTAACAGTAGGAGATACAACCCTTTTACTTATGCTTCTTCTCCACTTCTGGTAGCTGTCTTGTCTTTGAATATGCCTTATAAATCTAAACTGTGCCTCTGAAGATTATTTTATGTGGAGAAGAATTTTAAATAATATTTTCCAGATATCCACTTGTGTGCATTTGTGTATGTCTTATTTGCCCCTACCAGTTTGAGGCATGTTTTATAACCATTATGAGATAAAAAACTGTTCTGTTAGAAATCAGTTAAAAGAGAGTCTGTTGATAGAGCAGCCTATACAAGCTGAACTGCGCTTCCTTTCCTATGCAACAGGAGTGTTGAGTGTAGAAATTGATATAGTCTTCAGTTTTGTGCATAGATGATAAAAATCACAGCAAAGAACACCAGATTCATATTTCCAACTAACTTTATAATGAGCTGAAAGCCATTAATTTAAAGGATTTTTTTTGGGGGGTAGCAATACAGTTTGAATTTGTCACATATTTTCCCTTCCATTGGTGTCTCTCTGATAATTCTGATAATTTTAACTTCACTGCTTTTAACACCACAGTAGCAATCAGGCACTGCCTAGCAATCAGGCAAATGAGAAACAATTTGGTGCTTTTCCTGCCAGAGTTTGCTCTTGAAATGGCAGGGTATTGTCCACCTTGTTTTATTTATCTGCTTCTTTTGGGCATATAAAATCAATGATATGTTTTGTTCCTGAAACAATTATAATTTTCTCTGTGGTAGCTATCCTGGGGGAAAAAATCCAACAAAACAAAAAACATACAACTGGTGCTTGAAGGTGAGGTTTCAAATGAATTTCTGCATTTCATTTTTGTCCATGTTTTGTGAGAAAAGAAGAGATAAACAGGACCCACCAGAGCTTTGGGAAGTATGTGGGATAAGCTTCTCTGTAGGACTTAACATTGTTACTTCATGGTAAATGCAGATTACATGATGTTATTCATAAAACTGGAATATTCTAGACTTAGGGTAGCAAATGCGGTCAGTAATATCTTGTTTGTCCTGTGTTTCTAGCAAATTAAACTACATTTTTGGACCTTGCAGTTCTGAGAACAAAACACTGAGCTGGAGTGCTCCTGAGCTGGACCTTCTGGCTGCAGACATTAAGAGCTTAACATCAGGTTGCTGTCTGGGAGGGACTGGCTGCAGAAACCATTTAGTCTCTCTCTGTTTCTGTCTGGGTCATTTCAAGGTCCTGCTCTTAATCTTCAAAGCTTTTAATTTTCTGAGATTAGGCTACCTCAGGACCTGCCTTTCTGCCATGCCAAAGCTGCTGTGCTCATCAGGGTCACTGAAGCTTGCTGAACTCTGAGTGAAGGCTTTAGTAGTTGGATATTCGTGGCATTTTTAAAATTTCAGAACCTTAGCTGTGGAAACTCCTACTCAAAATGGCCCAATGTCCTGTAATCTGGCTGGTTTTAGCATCTTTTTGCTAGAAGTTCCTGTTCATCCTGGGCAAAATGATGAAGATGTTCTTTTTAAACACTGTTGAAAGGAGACTTGTAAATAAAACAAAACAAGCAGAAAGCAAAGTCTTAAAAAATTTATTGGTTTGAAAGGCTGTAGGTATTTGCTTTCTCTGTGAGGGATTGGATGAGCATAGTGAAAACATGAAGGATTTTCCTTCAAAAGGAAAGAACAGAATGGTGGCAGTTGCTGGAGGTTTATGATATGTGTATCTGTAAGCAACCTGGACAAGAAGCATATGAGTTCATGCAATTTGAAATGAATGCTATTCTGTTACTGAATATAGTGAAAAGAGGCTTTTTGTTAGTTGCTGTCCACTCCAGCAGAATGGAAACTTTTATCTCGTGAAGGAGAAAGGCCAACGCAAGTGGCCTTTAACTAAAACACGGGTGGCTTTCTGGTCTCCACAACTTGACCTTAATGAAGCTTGCCCTACAGAAGGTGTTGTGACAAGCAAAAGGGACAGTAGGAGCATGTAGGAAAGCAACCTTTCTTTTCAAGTCTGGATTGTGTTCATGGCTCACTTGCTTGTTGGGCTGCTTAGCTGTTTGGCTTTTTTCTCTTGCTTCCAACACAAGTTACTTGGTGGATGCTTCATTGTGTAGGGTAGTACACAATGGAGGTTGTTTAGGTGGGCTGGCTGCTTTGTGTTGGGGACAGGTAAAGCTCCTTTCCTTGGCTTCCTTGAGGTTTTACAGAGAAAGCAAGAATTGTCAAGATGCTGTTGTGTGTAAATTAGCATGTAATTGCTCAAGCTCTCTTTGTGGATATGTCTTAAGAGGCCATCATGGGAGCCCACAAGGTAACACTGTCCTAAAATGGAGAACAAGAGTTTCTTCAGGCAGTATACTATGAGCAGTGAAAATTTCTTCAGGGAAAATATTTTCAAGACTCCTGTTCAGCAGGAATTCTTTTGAAGTACTTCTGATAAATGGCTTCAGCTCTGATGTTTTTGCAATCCTTCTAGACACCCTATCTCAAGCCATTTTGGTTGGGTGAGTCCCATGATAGACCTTTTCCCTCTTGATGGTGCTATTCATCCTGGTCTTCATTCAGAATTTGTTGGAGACAGTGGAGTCTGGCAAGGATCTCTAACATTGTTTTCCTGCTTATGTACTGTATCTTTTCCCATTTTGCAAATAGCACAATTGTGGGAATGAAAACTTTTTGTCACTTGTTTACATAAGGAAGTTGGGGATGCATTTGAAAGTTAATTTAGTTTTTGTCTTACAGAAATGGTATGGCTTATTTCTTGAAGCAGTACTGAAATCTAGCAGATTGTGTGCTGATTTTGCATTAATTTAAACAGAATGTATTTGTGTTTGTTCATGGGTGGAAAATGATCTCAACTTCTGATAGCTTTCTCTCCGTGTTTTGTCTTAATGTCACTTTTACGTTTCTCAGTGCCAACAACAAGAAAAATAAGGGAGGTATCAGGGAAAGATTGTCATTGCATTGTTACAAACAGAAGACTGTGACTACTTAGTGACATGATTTACTCATGTTTTCTGCCCAAATATTTTGATTTCTCTGATATTTAGCTATTATGATGAATCTGAAAAATGCAATTGATAGTAACAATTAAAAGCATGCAACAAAGCAAGAAAAACACTCAACAAAAGCGCAAGAAAAACACTCAACAAAAGCACAAGAAAAACAGCTCCCCAGAAACATCAAACTAAAACACCTGGGCTGAGAGGTTATGATAATTTTTTGGAAGGTGTAAGAATTTCTAGGCTAGCAATATTTCATTCTATAATGCATCAGATTGAGATGCTAAACCGCATTTTGATGTGGATGTTTTGCTAAAACTTTACTGATGCAGAATAAATGGTGATACAGATGAAAATTTCACTTTCCTAAAGAAATACATTGGATGAGTAAGTTGGTGCTGTTCTTAATTACCTCAAAAGATTGAGGGCAATAACTGTTACCACCTGTATTTCCAAATGATACAATTTCATTGTTTATATAAAAAAATAATTAGGTAAAATATGGAAATGAATCTTTAGGTGGAACTGTAGTAATTCATTTTCATAGTTATCTTGCAATAACCATTGACAGCAAAATGAAATAAAATTGCTGGTTCCATATGGTTTCCCTGTTTAGAACAATTGGCAAGGCATCTCTGAGCATTCCTGCTTCCAGAATATGTAATCAAAATAATTACACAAATGTGCATATATTTTGTAGCCTGGAAAAAGAGACATGTGACTTTGAGGGATGTGCTCTGAAAGCAGGATGGAGGCAATTAACAGTTGTAAGTTCCACCATGAAAATTATTCACCAGTTATGAGATTTCTTATCAGTGGGTCTTCTTGACACAGTATCTTGTGAAGAAATGGTTGACAAATTAGGGTTCCTACTAATAGTAAAATGCTACTACTTTTGTAGTTAAGAAATAAATATGATTTGTGAATATAAAATGTATTCAGAAAACAAGCATCTTCAAAATAATAACAAACTTGAATAAATTTTACTGCAGGCCAAGGTTTGTTTTCTTACGTGTTTTCAGCTTTAAAGCTGGCTTGATGGTATAAAAGTAAATCTCTTCTGCATATATTGAGGTCAGAGCCTGCAAGCCACTTTGCTCACACCAAAAGACACAAAATGCAAAGTCTATGCAATCTTTTGAAAATAACCTGTTTTGGTGCCCTGTTTTGGTGTGTGCTGTCTAGGAGGGGTCTGGAGTGTGACAGTAAGCACAGAAATTA